CAAATTAGATGGTCATTGTTGCCAGTGAAATGGGAGAAAGAGTGGTGGCCGCGTAAGAGACACTACTCAACTCTTACCAGAGGCCGTCTGTGTATGAAGAACTTCACTAGATGGGAGGAAAAAGTAGCAAACAGGATCTCGGTCCTTAAAATAAAAAACCCGCCATAACACGTTCCAGCCGCTTCTGTATCTTAAAAGCAGACAGGAAGTTTGGTTTGAGGCTATTCGCTTCCAGAGTTACAAATGGAAGCTAGAAGGTAAATGACAGGGACACACAGGTAAAATGGTTCCTCCTACCCCCCATCCTTTAGGAAAAAAAACAATCAGAATTTAAAAATTGCTCATGGAGAGTATAAAATGTATATATCTGTTTGTCTGTTCATTTCTATCGTGGATCAGCAGCGGTGGTCCACATGCCAAATCTGATTGCTGCCTGTTTTGTCAATAAAGTTTTACTGGAACACAGCCATACCTATTTGTCTTACTGTCTATCACAGATTCCCACCACAGTGGCAGAAATGAATATTGCCAACAAGGCCTAAAGTATTTACCACTGGTCTTAAAAGAAAAAGGTTGCCAACTCTTTATTTAGGTTTAGGGATTAGGAACTAAAGAATACCTTAAGACACCAAGCAAGAATGGATTACACATGGGTTACAAGTAGTAACTTGCAGCAGATCTCTTGGTATTACCATTTATTTGACAAGCCTATGAATTTAGTGGTAAAAGCTTGGCATTAGTGCCTATTAGTACAAGCCAAGTAGGATTTAAACAACAAACCCTGAGTAATCCTAAGAATGGAGATCCCCAAAGTCAGTATTATTAAGTCAGAATCCTAGACCTGGGGCACCTGGGTGGCTCAGGCAGTTAAACATCTAACTTTAGCTCAGGTCACGATCTCATGGTTCGTGGGTTTGAGCCCTGTGTTGGGCTCTGTGCTGACAGCTCAGAGCCTGGAGCTTGCTTCAGATTCTGTGTCGCCCTCTCTCTGCCCCTTCCTTGCTTGCTCTCTATCTCTCTCTCTCAAAAATAAATAAACATTTTTTTTAATTAAAAAAAAAAAAAAAAGAATCCTAGACCTGATGGTAAAGGAGAATGAATCCCAGTCCAGTATAGCCTTCTAGGGCTCAGAGTAGGGTGTAAAAATCTTCTTCTACTTGTTTGTAACTACATTTTGGTGTTGGGATGAAATCTAGCACAACTTCTCCCTGCTATTGTTATTCTTGTACTTTGTCCCTTTTTTTGCCTGGGTCACCAAACCATGGGAGGGTATGCCCAAATAGTGCTGGAGACCCCACACCCTTCACAGGGTTCTCCCAGAGCACCCCATACACCAGTGCTCTATAAAAAGCAACTGCCACTTTATCCCAGGGGCGAAGCTTCTCTCTAGGCCCCGGCACCCCTTCCTCAGGCCTGCTGCTTTGATCTGGTGCACCCACATTCTCAATCCAAACTCTGCCTCTCTGGCCAGCCCCTATGGATGAATGCCTCGGCCCAACTGTCTGCCCAGCTTCCCATCAGATCATCTTTGAATCCAGGCCTGCTGCACAAGTGCCAGACCTGATCTCTCCCAGTCTGTTCTGATCTCATCGTTTTTCCCCTAAGGGCACAATGTCCAATCCCTGCCACTAAGCCACGGGGACTTCTGCGTAACATGTTGGCTGGTCCCTTTTTGCTGAATCTGTTTTTCCATGACAGTTTCTGGGTTAACTTGTCTTAGAACATACCAGGACTTGAAAGGTCTGCTAATCCCTTATGTCCTAAGAGAATAAATTAGTATATCTGTATCTATCTATCTATCTATCACATATTAGAATATATAGTGTGTATATATACATATATAAATTGTGTATATGTGTGTGTGTGTATATATATATACATACATACACACACACACACACACACACACACATATATGACACTTAGAAGTGTGTCTGACTAGGGAAAACATCTAATATATGTTATTATCTTATCAAGGTCTGAGCCAGCAGTGATAGTTTCTTCAGCGCTGCATGGTATTCAGAAAGCTTCTGGAACCAAGCATTTACTTCTAAGAACAATATTCATCTTTAGGATGCTGAAACTCTAGTCATATCCAGTATCTCTTTTTACTATTTCTCAAGTCCTGTTTTCAGGTGGAGAAGAAAGACTTGTAAAATCTGCCTTTAAGTACAATGAGAAGGCAAAAATGCCTGTACTTATCTTTCTCATTTTTAAGCCACTGAAACTCATTTTGGCCAATAGATGGGTGATCCTTGAACCCTCACAAGCTTTGTCTAAAACAGAAGCATTTTTTTTCTCATCTTCCTAACAGAATGTCTTTTATACTTTTTCCCCAAAAACCAGCACAGAAAGAACCACTAAGAGCAAGAGGCAGTCTACTAATCCAGTATAAGTCCACCGGGGCCATCTATCTGTATGTCTTGTTAAATTATCCATGTTTATGATGTGCTAAGTGTTTACTGCTCATTTCTTGACCTCCAGGTCCCTCATGACTGGCTCCTTGCACTTTGAGCTCTTCCACCAGCTGGTCTTAGGAGACAAAACTGCAGGAAGACATGTGACAGAAATCAGGAAGCAAAGGTGCTGCTTCCCCAGCACGAGCCAGAGTGGAAACAGGCCTATTTCAAAGATTGTTTGGGACAAAGCCCTGTGGTACTGTTTCTAATACTACATGTCTGGTGTCTGTTCCAGAAGTAGCAATGTAGGATAGATAATAACTAATGGGCCTGTAGGGACCAGACCTTATTGGTGGCCACTGGGAAATTTCAGACAGTGGGCACGGTTCCAGATGTGAGATAATCTGTTATCTTTAGACTCATTTAGAATCACTGGAGTTGGAGCTGAGCCCATACTGGCTTGCAGGGAAAGGACCTCCCAAGGACATTTTGTCCAATGCAAAGCCCAGAAGATTCCTTATATCTTGTACGTGCTTTATTGTTGCCCTTATCACACAGCATCATAGATATTTGTATTCCCCATTTAAACTCTAACCTCCTTAAGGGCTTTGATCATATAATATTCATGTTTAACTTCCCAGTGACCACTGATCAATCAATTCATCAATCAATCAAATTTAACTTTAGGTTTAAAAAGAACACTGTATTTACACCCTTCAATTTAGACCAAACAGTTGAGATACTAATGAGGCTTTAGGGACTCCTCCAGGGTGGATAAAAAGTGGTATCTTCCTCTCCTCTGCTTC